AATGGGGACATCCCTACTGGATGTTGAATCATATCTTGTCCACTTTCCAATGTAAAAATTATTCCAAAATGGTCTGATCCAAGATCTTCTATTGTCTGCCAGTCTTTGACATGATCAGCCAGTGTCTTAGATGCAAATGTGAGGTCAGTCACAGTTGGTTTCCTCATATTTGGTCTGTAGAATGTGCCTTGTCCAGAGGAGTTCATTAGCTCCATACCCATGCTGTCTAGCCAGTCTATAAGCAAATCAGTCTCACTATTACTACTACTACTACTACTACTACTACTTGACTCTGGCTCCCATCTAGGATGGTGCAGGTTAAAGTCTCCTAGAAGTAGGGTCCTTTTATTCTGTAGGTGGTGCTGAGAGAGAGCTTGGATGGTTGGTCCATTTTCACGTGCTTGATTGTATAGATATATGAATGTAATTGGCCAAGTTCCATTCATAATATCTAAAACTTGAGGATCAGGGTCCTGTGGTGAGCAACAGGAAAGCTTGATTTTAGGACCTAGCTGATGAGAAGCATAGATCATTGTACGGGGCCTTTGATTTGGAGGTGAGTTTGGAAAGATTTGAATGAAATTTGGGTGGTTAATGGATCTGGTGTTTAAGAAACTTGGCTCTATTCTTTCACGTGGAATTAGCCAAGGCTCTTGTACAGCTATTATCGAAATATTAAGTTCTATTGCTCTTTGTAAGGTACTCTCTGTTGCATATTTATTTTTGTTTAAGTTTATCTGTAGAACCTTAATATCTGGTGTGTCAGACATTAAAGTTCAATCTCTTCAGCCTTGTCTCGCATGCTCAGGTAAACCTGGCAGATCTTTGAATTGGCTTTGTGGTCTCCCTCACAGTTGGCACACTTTGGGGCCAAGTGACTACATTGGACTCCTTTGGCTTTGCAGACACTGCAGTAGTGCTGTTGAGTGCTATGGTCTCGAGCTCCACAGAGTCTACAGACTGCATTGCGTCGGCAATAGCTCTCAACATGTCCAAAAGCCTGACATTTATTACACTGTGTGGTCTGTGCTACATTGTAAAACTTGGTTACTCTTGAACTGATTCCTGCAGTGTAGAGTCTGTTCCGGATGGCACGCTCTGCCTCTTGTTGTGTTGCAAATGCAATGGCCACTGATCCTGCCTGTTTGATCTGTCTGTTTTCTCTGGTAGATATCCAGTGGGGCATTCCAATTGGGTTTAATCCTTTGTTGAACGTGGTGATTTCTGATTTTATCATCTCCATTCCATTCTCATTGTCAAAGTCAGCTAGGGGTATTCCATGGGCAATCACTTTGTACCACGGTTCATCCTTTTGCACGGCTGTAAATGGTATCACTTTCTCCCAAATTGATTTCTTTTCAAGGAAAAAATCTGCTGAATATTCTTCAGTTATTGTGATAGCTATGTTTCCATTTTGGGGTTTTAATACTGTGTTTACTACTGGTCCCTTGATACCATTGCTGGCAAACACTTGGTTGATCTGATTTCTAGCATATAGGGGGGTGAAACTGGTTATTGCCTCTGGACCTTGCACAAGGATGACTCTACAAATAACCTTATTTTTTTGTTGAGTGGGTTGTTGGGGACGTGCTACTTGTGGCTGGCCCTTCTTTCCAACTACAGTCCATTGTAGAGGATCACTTGATTGGCCTATTCCTCTTGCAGCTATGGAGGCCATGTAGGCTTGTTGATAAAGTGGCTGGGTTGTGGTTTCCTGGTTGTTTAGTGATGTGCCTCTATTTTTTGGGGTGGGTGCTGTTGATGTTGCAATCTTGCTCAGTGCCCTTGCTTTTGTCTCAATCTGTCTTGAAACAGTTTCAAGGTTTGCAACTTGAGATGCAATAATGGTTGATGCCATACTAAAATTTCCTTTTTCAGTATATTCCCTGAACACTTCAAGTAGATCAAGTAATTGAGACTGTTCTGTCCGGTCATTTATGAGATCATAAGCCTTGATTATGGGGTCCCTAGCTTGCAATAGCACGGTCTTTGTTGTTTCCATACCTTGATTATTCACTGGTGGAGGTTTGGAATGCATTTAGGATGAAAGTGTTTCCTTGCCTTTACCCTTGACTGAGGGATTAGGATCTTGATATTGGTTGGCTGCTGAATTGTACTGGTAATGATTTGATGGGCCAGAAATTGGGTCACTGCTAAATTCCATGACTTCATCAAAACTTGATAGTTGAAGTATCTTTGGGTTTGGCAAGAGTGGTGGGAAATCATCCTGTATTGAGAAATTGGAGTGGTGTCAGGAACTGAGGATAGAGCAGCACCCTCATATTCTTTCCCTAAACTACATCGGAATATTCTCTCATCTTAGAGCGTTTACCGGGTTACAATGGTTGCTATGGGTTACAAATGAAGTAATAGACTAGCAGCAGGCGCACCCCTTGAAGCCTTAGTTGCTCTGGTTACTATGATGTATATATGGGTTGGGTAGAGCCGATGTAGAGGGCCACGTCTTGTTTTCCGTCTTTCACTGACCTTGTCTCTTGTCCTAGTTTCTCTTGTCCCTTGTCCTCAGTTATAGCTAGAATCCCGAATTAATACCTTAGTCTATGACAAATCTTGTCAGATATCACTCGCACTTCTAAGTTATCTATAAAACACAACCCCTGGTACCCTCGAGTTTGACAAGTGGACAACCATTTGTTTACTGGATGACTGGTAGTAATTCAGGTTGTCAGATTGGAGTCTAGTTGTTTGAGCTGGAGCGAATTTGAAGGGCTAGAAGATGTTAAATGGACGGCGAAAGATGACTAAAGGTATACTAGAGATAATTTGGAGGAAATTGAGGTTTGAAAGATAGTTAATATAAGTATTTAAAAGGTCTAAAGGTTCGAGAGGGTACTAATGATAACTAAAGGTACTAGAGGTAACTAGAGGTGACTATAGGTGACCAGAGGTGATCCGAAGGTGGTGGTTGTGACAGAAGACTAAGCGTAAAGAACTCTATGCCTACAGACCAAACCATTGTATGTATACCTGACTTCCTTTCACTAGCTCATCATAACATAGACCTTGACATAATATCAACATGATACCATGTGCCAAGAACTGTGCTGTTGTCATAGCAACATATGAAGAAAGATAAAATTATATCCTAAAGAAAGGATCGGAAGAGGAATCCTTACACAGGTCCATATCCACTACAGGGGAAGCTGGGTCATAAACAGATTGATTGTCAATTTCGGGTGACCGTGGCCTGTAGACTGACATTATGGGACTTATAACAGATTTTTTTTTCTTTTCATTTATTGATGTTTTTCCACCTTTTTGAAAATTTGCAAATATTATTGTTTTTTTGTTTTTTTGGATTTTGAAATCAGCTGGTTGCGTGACTTTTATATCACGTGACTTTCGGAAAATGATTTTTCCTGTAATGATATGTAAACAACGCAATTTACGAGTAAATTGACGCAAAATTAGTGTCAGACCAATGAAAATTTTTCTTATAGGGTGACCCCTTCTGACCAGTGAGGCAATTTGTCGCAAAATTTGTTTACTCGATCTTTGAACCCTTATGATTTGTTCAAATTTTGTTGAATATTGCTGAAATTGGAGTGGTGTTAGAGGTGTATCTGAACTACAGGCAGTCTAAATTTTGTCTTGAATGATGGCTGTTGACAGATGCTGTTGTTCAAAAGCTTGAGGCTTTCACCCAAATGGGGCTCAAAATATCAAGCCAAACTTTGGACTTTGGTAACTCTTTCACCAGCCAGTCAAATTGGCTCATTAATACCTTAATCGAAAGCGCTTGACGTAATGATTCTGATTCAACTAGAAATAATACAGTTGGGGTTGTTTGTAAAAAGTTATCAATAAATCTGTGGTTGATTGCTGGTTGTTGGTTGATTGGCTGTGAGTAGTCTGGCTTGGAGGGCTTTTTGAGGACAATACCAGTTGCCTGCCTCCAGCACTTTGGCTGATATCCTATATTAAATAGCAAGGGATATATCTGGAAGAAAATTTCCTTATTAGCTTGGTATGCATTACTTATGATTGTCTGATCCATCTGATCTAGCCCTGGTGCTTTGACCTTGGATGAATTGCAGCATGCTCTTTCAACTTCAAATGGAGTAAGCTCCGGCCAGTCCCAGCGTGATTCCTGATTTGAAGAACAATCAAGTTCTGGTGCCACTGGAGGTTTCACAAATAATTGAGATCTGAGGGTACCTGTCGAACCTTTTGAGCTGGTTCGGAAGCTGTAGTGATTGAGACTAGAGGTATCTGGAAGAATAGCTCGCACAGGAGCTTTCAATTGAAGTGAAATAAAAAGATGTAATTGTCTGTCTGTCTGTCTTCCTTCCTCTTTCTCTCAGCTTATATATCTACACATATCTACTACCTGACATATGATGATAATATCTAGAAATAGCTTCCTTACATCACAGGATACAATCCAAACATGTTGTAGCCAAGATGTAATCCTAAACCGACTCAATACCAGTCCACCATGTCTGTTACAGGGACGCCAAGCATTTTCTAGCTGAAAATTACCCAAAACACCAAGGTTTTCCTGAGGCAATCACAAATTATGTCAGGTACCAGCTTGGCATATTATTCTGACAATAATGTTACAATCATGTTAGAAGAATGGAATTTACATGAATCACAAAACATTAATTCAGGAATACGAATTCCACCGGGTTCTGATAATGGTCTGACACACCCCCCTAGTTTTAGACGCGTGGTTTAAGACTATTGTTCAGATTCAGAGTCGAGTTCATTTTGAAGTTGAAGTTTTATATCTTGAAGTCAAAGTAATTGACGAAAATGAAGGAACTTTTGTCGAGGAAGTGCTACAGTGAATAAATCTGCGAGAATTTGGTCGGTAGGATTGTATTATGGTCGTTATTTGTTGTCATGGAAATTTAAATTCTTTTTTTTTAATAGAAAATAACGTTGAGCCCTTTTGACTTCTTTTAAATAAAAATAAATTAACAAATTTAATTTGCTGAAAATGATCTTGCTAGACGTCTGATTATCCCACAGGTTTATCCATATGTGTGGTGAACTGACAAGTCTTTCGATATAGATGGGGTATGTTGTTGGTTTTTCTTAAGCAAGATAACCATTTTTTCTGTTGGAGATATCCAGCTCTCTTTATCGCTTCCAATTTGGGTCGAAAATTGTAGAATAAAATTTGACCTAATTCTTGATTTATGATAAAAGCGGGGATTGTAAATAAATACCACTATTTTCCAAATTTCGGGCCAGAGAAATTTTGGTAAACTCGAAGAAATACGCATTGTGCGCGTTTTTGTAGAAATTACCCCCCCAGAACGCTCAGCAGAGCCGTTTTGAGCAGGTTTATGAGGCGCAGTAAGCTCGTCTAAGATTCCATGATCTGTGATAAACTTTTGATATTCTTGTTGCAAAGAAACACCATCATCTCGATAAAAAATGTAGATTTCAAGTAAAAATTTAGTTTTTACAAATTTCTGAACATTAATAAAATTTAAAAGCTTTTGAATAGATAAATTTGAAATTGCGCGGAAAAAAATTGGTTTTTTATAATTATACTTGACCAAGAACGCTACTACCCTGTTTGCTTTTGCACGCTTGCAAGGCTCACAGTTCTCTAGTTCTTTTTCAATTTCAATCGGTAATAAAGAATGATTTTTTAAAACTTTTTCGAGTAATTGACTAGAAGGATGTCCAAGTCGTTCATGCCAGATTGTAATATCTGTTGGTGTTACAGATTTTATATCTGAACCCTCTGTAGAAAGTGAAGATTTAGTAATTACTGGTTCAAATTTGTTATACTCGATAACGTATTGGTTGAACAATTTTTTTGTAAAGCAAATTGTTTTTTCAGAATTGAAAATGCATCCTGTCTGTGGATTCCACGAAATTCCTGCAGATTGTAACCTAGTGAGTGATGCAAGAGACGCATGAAAAGATGGTATATACGCCACATTGTTTAGTTGGAAAAGTCCTGTTGAAATCTTCATAAAAACTGTTCCATATCCGAGAATTTCAGATTGCCCACTCCCTGCTACAGCTGTAGATGGCTTAGAAAAGTAATTTGAGAATCGAGAAAATTCATTGCAGATATGCCTGTCAGAGCCTGAATCAAGAATGAACGAATTTTTTAAAGGATAATTGGAGCAGTTGAGAGAAGGTTGAGAGAAAGTAGAAGCTGTTGATGCTGCGGCTACTGCTTGAATACTGGGTAAATTTTGACCTGAGCTTTCATATGACTCAGAATTTTGTTTCTGTCGAAAGTTATTTGCCTTTTTTAATGCTGCATTGACTTTAGCGTTATTTGAAGGGACTTTGAGAAAATCATCAACTTTTTGTTGTCTTTCTAATGAAGGCTTAAAATTGTTTGGTCTAAATGCCTTATTAATGTAATAACACTCTGAAAAGTAATGTTTCCACCCACACAGACAAGCAGGCTTTTTCGAAGAAGGACCAGAAGTACATGGATCATTTGATGAGGTAGGGGATTCAGGCTGAGTATTTAACTTCGAATTTTGACCTTTATACACAGCGAAAGATGCCTGATTTAGTGAGGTACTTGCAGCTTTGGTGGCCTGTGTACGCTCAAATATCTCTGATATCTCTATACCATCCGGGAATTTTTCTTCCCACCCTTGTACATTACTTCTGGCTTCATCTTCTAACTTGTTAGTCCAATAATCTGAAAATGAATTGTCAATATGACAAATTGACTCGAGAAATGATTGGGTCGGTCGAAGACCCTGTGCTTCTGGAAGACCAATCCTTTTAGCATCAGTGAAAACTTTCTGCCAATTTGTAACCCATGCAGAAATACCCGTTCTATCAGGGGAATTAAGAATAGATTGGTACTTGCTTAAAATTTCCTTCTGTTGTACCCACCCTGAGGGTTGGAGTCGACGTTTCAAAAGTACCAACTGTTGTGATCAGACCCACTTATAGATCACACAACTTGGAATGGCTAGTATTGGGCAAGTGAACCAACAGGACAAGCGACCCTGTGTCAATGATACGTCATCAGCACACAGCAATGACAACACCAGTATCTCAACCATACATGATTATATGATAATATTACGCAGGTATATCTAATGAAATAGTTGTTGAATGGCTGAATGGTTGACAGTTATTGCTATTGATGGTATATTGTATGTATTGTCTTTGTGTATAAATACTCGCTACTAGACCTCTGTATATGATCAACCTTTTCCACTCTTATATTCAATAGTCATCAATATAGCAGATCTACAATATATATTTGTCTTCTTCACATTAGACTTAAAGTGCTATCCTACATCAACCCAAGTTGACTGTTACACCCATTGTGACAATTCTTAGACTTCTCATAACCTCGTTATTACAATACCAACTCTCTTGCAATATCATGTTCATCGGAAATAGTGGAGTAGTAATTACCAACCGTTTTTATTATGAATTCTTGGATAAATGCAAGTGACCTTTGTTGATCCTTGTAGGCCTGAAGGTCCGTACGATAGCAATTGTAAAGGAACTCATATATCCTTAGTTCATCAATGGCAAGATCTGTAATTAATCTTGCAGTTGGTTTAACTACCGTTATCAATGGTTCCTCCGGATATTTGAGACATGGTACTCGTGATATGTTTCATGGATCCTTGTGGCATAGCGTATTATGAAACGCCATGCAGACGGCTAAGTTAAAACACAAATAATAGTTCAATGCACTTCTAAAACCAGCAAGGAAGACTGATAAGAATGGGCTGGTTTCATTAGGTGATGTGTAGCAGATTGTTGGCCATATGGGCTGTGTGCTACGTGCTATTTGGTAATTTTATGTATATAAATACTCGGCGTGAAGAAGCATTATTCTTCACATAACGTCTTCTTTAATTATCTTAACAATACATTTGTTTACCCATCTCTTCTTCGGGAAGACCATTTATCTCTTTCCAGCTCTTCATCAGCAAGACCCACGTGTAGCCTCTATCGCTACTATCTGCCTATTTGTCTCTTCCTAGAGAAGACCAGTCATCCCTTCGACCCACTCATCACCTTTATCTACCACCTAGATCTTCGTTAGACCACATACGCACCCTGTGGAACACTGTCCTAACCTCGCCTTGAGAATATGCTGGAATGGTCAATTTGAGCCCAAATACTTTGTGTTAGAGCAAGTTTCTGAATCGTTGATATCCATTGATCCCAATTAGACGGACCATTCAGCATGATTTTGGAAGAGCCGCTTAATTCAGCCATTTTTGTTGAAGGATCTGAACTGTAAATTTAATAGTAAAAAATGGTTGATAAAAAAAACCGTGATAATTGACTTGAAACAATATGAAAAATATGATAAAAATATAAAAATAATAGGTAAAACTGTTGCAACAGGACAATTAACTTAGCAAGATTGATAGACCAATACCACTTTTCTATGCACAGAAGATTTTAACCGGGCTCATAACTGTCGAACCTTTTGAGCTGGTTCGGAAGCTGTAGTGATTGAGACTAGAGGTATCTGGAAGAATAGCTCGCACAGGAGCTTTCAATTGAAGTGAAATAAAAAGATGTAATTGTCTGTCTGTCTGTCTTCCTTCCTCTTTCTCTCAGCTTATATATCTACACATATCTACTACCTGACATATGATGATAATATCTAGAAATAGCTTCCTTACATCACAGGATACAATCCAAACATGTTGTAGCCAAGATGTAATCCTAAACCGACTCAATACCAGTCCACCATGTCTGTTACAGGGACGCCAAGCATTTTCTAGCTGAAAATTACCCAAAACGCCAAGGTTTTCCTGAGGCAATCACAAATTATGTCAGGTACCAGCTTGGCATATTATTCTGACAATAATGTTACAATCATGTTAGAAGAATGGAATTTACATGAATCACAAAACATTAATTCAGGAATACGAATTCCACCGGGTTCTGATACTGGTCTGACAGTACCACATTTCTCTTCAAAATTTGACCTCTGTCAGGAACTGAGGATAGAGCAGCACCCTCATATTCTTTCCCTACACTACATCTGAATATTCTCTCATCTTAGAGCGTTTACTGGGTTACAATGGTTGCTATGGGTTACAAATGAAGTAATAGACTAGCAGCAGGCGCACCCCTTGAAGCCTTAGTTGCTCTGGTTACTATGATGTATATATGGGTTGGGTAAAGCCGATGTAGAGGGCCACGTCTTGTTTTCCGTCTTCCATTGACCTTGTCTCTTGTCCTAGTTTCTCTTGTCCCTTGTCCTCAGTTATAGCTAGAATCCCGAATTAATACCTTAGTCTATGACAAATCTTGTCAGATATCACTCGCACTTCTAAGTTATCCATAAAACACAACCCCTGGTACCCTCGAGTTTGACAACCTCATATTTCCATCACTGTCTTGGATATTAGGCAGTGGAGCATTTTGATTTCCCCTGGTGTATCTTAAAGCTTTGAAGATAGATGAAGGATCTTCTTGCTCAAGGAAAATATTCCAATGATTTTTCTTGGCAATTTTAATTTCTTGGAAATACTTGTTTCAAGCATTGGTGTATTCTTTAAATTTATCTTGGTTAGAATTATCCTTAAAATAAACCCTTAGGGCTCTCATCATTTTCTTTCGGAGTCTTTTAACTCCTCTGTCCACCATGGTTTGGGCTTTGCTCCTAAACTTTTCCGAGGGATTGGAATTAGAATGGTTCCGCAAATTGTAAGAATGACATACCAAGTATGAGGATAAATTAGAGTTATGATGAGTTTGCTTAATGTACGGCGAAGTCTACTGATGTTTTATGGACAGTTAATTGTGATTAAATTGCTATAATTCTATGTGTGGCAAGAAGTCCCTCTATATACACAAAAGCGGGGTTTTCCGCACACTAGTGTGAACTCCAACATACTCCCTAATCTAACCTGAACGGGAAGGTTGTTGGAGATCCTGAAGCCAATGTATGCTGTCAGGCATCTATTGGCTAATTACTATTCATGCCAGTGAGTGATGATATGGGTTAATCATATCTCATGGTGCCAGTGCATATTATTCTAATATGTACTATTTGTCTACTGCAGTCATGTTGCTGCCTAAATTACAACAATTGGTACTTCAGCAGCTTGAATCAGAATATTGGTTAGCTCTTGGCCTATCCTGTCAAGATTATCCTTCAATTCTTTCCCTTGATACCGAAGATCTTGGGTTGCTCTTTGACCGAGGATTTGGAGGTTGGCAGGATTTAGTGAAATTGAGCTACTAAAAAAATTGGGTGCTAGTCTTCTGAAACTTTACCCAGTCTCCTTTTTTTGTATTAAATTGCTCTAGATTAGGTAAAGGTTGATGTTTTCCAGATCTCTGGTTTAGGACTGTGGAAATGATTCCTTGGTGTTCTGAGCCTAGAGGGATAGTTTGCCAATCTTGAAGGTATTTTTCTGACCATGAGGTAACCATAGTTAGGTCAATAATTGATTGTAGTGCCATATGGGGTCTATAAAAGGTTCCTTGTCCTACAGTATTTGGTACAGATAGTCCCTGCTCTTCCATCCACTCCCGCGGGCTTTCTGCACCTGATGACCTTGGATAGTATGGGTCCCAGTTTGGATGGTGTTCATTGAAGTCTCTAACAATGATTGTATTTGATAGGACTTTCAAAGCTAATCTATGCCTCATGATTGTGGTAAGATTATTTTCTGGCTTTTGGTTCTTTTGATTATAAATATTTATAATGTTTAAGTTGAAATTTTTATTTTTAAAGTTTACTGCTAGAATATCTGGGTCATTTGGATAGTCTAGGAGCCTGAGATGTTCAATATATGTATATTTTGATATATAAAACATTGTTCTTGGTCTTATTGAATGGTCTATTGTGCTAGGAAATATTTGGCTGAATGAAGGGTGACTTATTGACTGGACTCCTTCATAGGTCCCAATTTGCTTCAGCTATGGCAGCCATGGTTCTTGGACTGCTATGACCCCTACTCCTAGCTCAATAGCTAATTGTAGGGTTGCTTCTGTGGTCTGGATG